CTTCTTCCATATCGTGTATGACTATATCCTTTATATCTAATATTTAAGATATCCTCTATATTATATCCTCTATATCCTCTATATCCTCTATATCCTCTATATCCTTCGTATCCTTTATATCCTTTATATCCTCTATATCCTCTATATCCTCTATATCCTCTATATCCTCTATATCCTCTATATCCTCTATATCCTACTCTATATCCTCTATATCCTCTATATCCTCTATATCCTCTATATCCTCTATATCCTCTATATCCTCTATATCCTCTATATCCTCTATATCCTCTATATCCTCAATATCCTCAATACCCTCAATACCCTCAATATCCTCAATATCCTCAATATCCTCTATCCTCAATACCCTCAATATCCTCAATATCCTCAATATCCTCAATATCCTTAATATCCTCAATATCCTCAATATCCTCAATATCCTCAATATCCTCAATATCCTCAATATCCTCAATATCCTCAATATCCTCAATATCCTCAATATCCTCAATATCCTCAATATCCTCTATATCCTCTATATCCTCAATATCCTCAATATCCTCAATATCCTCAATATCCTCTATATCCTCTATATCCTCTATATCCTTTATATCCTCTATATTCTCTATATCCTCTATATCCTCTATATCCTCTATATCCTCTATATCCTCTATATCCTCTATATCCTCTATATCCTCTATATCCTCTATATCCTCTATATCATCTATATCATCTATATCCTCTATATCCTCTATATCCTCTATATCCTCTATATCCTCTATATCCTCTATATCCTCTATATCCTCTATATCCTTTATATCCTCTATATCCTCTATATCCTCTATATCCTCTATATCCTCTATATCCTCTATATCCTCTATATCCTCTATATCCTCTATATCCTCTATATCCTCTATATCCTCTATATCCTCTCTATCCTCTATAACCTCTATATCCTCTATATCCTCTATATCCTCTATATCCCCCATATCCTCTATATTTTCTATATCCTCTATATCCTCTATATCCTCTATATCTCCTATATCCTCTATATCCTCTATATCCTCTATATCCTCTATATCCTCTATATCCTCTATATCTTCTATATCCTCTATATCCTCTATATCCTCTATATCCTCTATATCCTCTATATCCTTTATATCCTCTATATCCTCTATATCCTATATATCCTCTATATCCTTTATATCCTCTATATCCTCTATATCCTATATATCCTATATATCCTCTATATCCTCTATATCCTCTATATCCTCTATATCCTCTATATCCTCTATATCCTCTATATCCTCTATATCCTCTATATCCTCTATATCCTCTATATCCTCTATATCCTCTATATCCTCTATATCCTCTATATCCTCTATATCCTCTATATCCTCTATATCCTCTATATCCTCTATATCCTCTATATCCTCTATATCCTCTATATCCTCTATATCCTCTATATCCTCTATATCCTCTATATCCTCTATATTCTCTATATCCTCTATATCCTCTATATCCTCTATATCCTCTATATCCTCTATATCCTCTATATCCTCTATATCCTCTATATCCTCTATATCCTCTATATCCTCTATATCCTCTATATCCTCTATATCCTCTATATCCTCTATATACTCTATATCAATCGATATGCAACTTTACTTTGAACTTGACATGTTACACGACAGCTTCCACATACACCCTGCCCTTTTCCACATACAAATAGCAAGCAAAAAACACGACATGCAACATTTTGCAGTCAGATGTTGAACTATTGGGTGTCCATAAAAACAGCGAAACACATATTTAATAATGAGAAATACAATTTATGTTCGCACCACATATTATGAATTAATTCTAAAATGGTAACCAAACCATAAATATTGAAGATACTTCCAGATCGTTTTCTGAAACTATTCTTTATTTCAAGATCACCAGTTACTATTAAATATAATGTAAATTCAAAATCTAACTAGATTACAAATGGTATTTGTATCAGAAAAATTCAAACTTCTATATCGCCGTAAAGTAAGCTAAAATTCACTGAAATATGAAAATTATTAGCATTAATATAAAAAGATTTATAGGAAAGTCGCGCAGCTGCCCAAAAATTAGAAAATGACCGAGTATGCTTTGCTTCTAACAATTAAGCGGTTTGGCCAATTATAATTATTGATAATTTTAAATAATAACACGCAAATTTTTACTGCAATATAGGTATTTTTATGGATTTAAGCAAAGCTCTTGATGTAGTGCTTTGCCCAATGTTAAACTTGGTAGGTATGAATTTAAAGGAAGAGTTGGTAAGTGATTAAGTTTTTTACTCATCTGATATAAACAGTCGTTAACATTCGTCTCAGAAACACGTATAATTAATTGTGGCGTTCCTCGGGGCACTGTTCTTGGACTATTCTTATTTTTTATTACCGTCTTATCTTTGTTGGTTAGTAATGGTAATAATACTTTTTATTTATATTATGATAATGATATCTTGCAATTAGCTGTTAAATTTCAATTTAGAATAGAGAAGTTGGTAGTTTGAGGAAAATAAACATATTAATAATAAAGAAAAAATAAATGACATTTTATTATATTTGAACTATTTAATAAGTTATTTTTATTTCGTTTATACAGTACTGTTTATAACGGAAACAGGTTTCCGATATCTAGACTGTACCTATTTTCATAAATAAGTATAAGTATAGTTTTGTATCGGTTACAGGTGACAGTTCAGACCTTATAGGCATGGTAAGAAAAAATGTGATTGACCTGTGATGACTAACTGTGGAAATCCCCTTTTAAGAATTGACAAATATGCCAACAAATATTTAAAGCCAGTCTTAAATTTTTAGTATAAAACTTCAAACGTGTACACCGCTCAAACGAAACTTTGCACAAAACTCAGTTTAGTTTAATATGTTCATTGTGATTTAAAGAACACGTGTTTTCGATTTTAAACAGATATTTTTGGAATACCAGGTACACAGATTAGTCTGATTAACATTTTTACAATAAATTGTGATCACTGTCATTAATTACATAACTTTTACTTATAAAAAATTACATAAATAATCCCAAAAACAGATGGTGCCTAAACCATTCTTTATAGGAAAGAGAAATAATGGAAGCTAGATGCAAACCATACCTTTTAAGAACTACTTAGTGTCGAATTAACAGTATTTATTTTTTGTTCACCATTCACACATTCCATACCTACCAATTTAATAAACAATCTCGAAATCGTCAATTCTCTATTATCCACGGCCGCCCATAAAATCAAACAACAAAATGAGCGCAAACGAAGCAAGCGTAGGTGATACGAAAGTTATTAGTATCGACATTGGATTCTATTGTGTAAACAAGAAATGCGAACCAAACATTTCAAGCCATTCCATTCGTACGACACTTCTCGGCCTTTTTTAGTTACGGATCATGAATAATTCCGGAAAATATTTATATTGTTATTGTCCTCTAATTGTTATTTATTTAAGTATAGTATTATCAACGTGGAACGTAAAAGCTTATAAACGTCAGTCTTGCTCAATATCAAACAAACACACAAAGCGACGGCGATGTTTGGTAACATGAAAAATAAATTAGTCGGGATATTGTTACATAGGAGTGGCGAGCTTTAGGATAAATCGTAATCACGTGGGTCGTCATGATCAGGATCTGTTACTTAATTAATAAAGTTTATCTAATAATTTTTATTGTATTTTGAATATTCTAGAGCAGGGATTCCCAAACTCTTTTTTGCAAGAGACCCCTTTTTCTAAGTATCTCTAGTTTTTTCTTATTGATACAAAATACTTACCAATTTAAAAACTTTCGATTGGTTAAATAAGTAAACTTGACATGATTTTCTCAACAAAATTTAACAAATTAAATGACGATAAAACTCAATAAATATCAAGTGCAATTAATAATTATTAATAAAAATTACGAAACAATACTAAAGTAGGTAATTAAAAAAAAACATTATAATCGCAAAGTAAAGATAAAACAATAATAAAATCAGTGTGATGTATGATTTCAGTGACTTTCTACCAATCTAGCTAAATCTGGTTCAATATTGGTGAGTTGCAGCCTTAAATCTTCGCGTTCATTGATTTTCAAACGGTTTCTTGGTTTTTCAAAATGTTTGTAATCACACTGACGTTTTTTTCGACTAGGTATGATGATGTAAAAGGAATAGGGTCTTTTTTAGCAATTTTTTACAATTCAGGATACTGTGTTTTAATGTTGCGCTGTAACCAAAACTTCTGCTTAAGCTCCTAATCTGTGCTGAAGGTGATTAACTCATTAAGCCATTTCTAATAAAATTTAATTATTTATTTTATTTTGTTGTGATCGTAGAAAAAATATTGTGTGTAATCCAAGCAAAAAGTACTTTGGCTGTTTCGATTACTTCATGTCTCAACAGCTATTTTGTTACAATAATTTTATAAACTTTTACTTAGGGTCGATTTCACCGTTTTGATAAACGAAGTTTAAAATACTAAACGAAGATTAACCCTTTGGAGGTGCACTTTTATAATGCCAAATGAACGATTTAGTACGCGTGGCACCATCTAAAACATAATAACAGATTTACTCATTTAATAAAATGGTAGACGATTTCTTGATTACTAAACGTTTTGTATTTGTACCAGTTGACAACTTTGTGTCTTGAGAAACGGTTGTTTTCTTAGTTTCTGAATTTTCTCGTGATATTTTTTTGCAGTCAGAAACGGTTGTGAGGTAAGTTTTAATTTTTTGTTACAAGTTTATACTTTGTTTTATTGATTGAAATATTAATTATCAACCAATACATCTTTTTTGTCGTAAACACGACGTATTTTTGTATGTACTACAGGTAGTAAGTACATGGTGACATAAGGGATATTTCTGTGTACTACTGCTAGTACATTGTGATTTAAAGAAAAACTTAAGCTACACATATTTTTGTTATTTCTTTATAGACATTTACATTATTAATTATAAAAATGAATAATTATAAGATGAAAAGGCCATTGAGTGAAAATGAACTGTATGAGTTGATAGAGGTTGGACTTTCTGATGTGGAAGAGTTATGTGATGAAGAGACTGATGACATTCTGACGTTCGAAGCTCTCCAGAATGAGAACGGAATTACCGGTAAGATCATAAACTAGTTATTTTGGCACATCTGATAAGTTAATTTTAGGTTAAGATAATGATACTGACAGTCGAGTAAATGATTTGGAGGCAGACATTTCTGAAAGTGTCGCTTCGCAAAGCTCAGTATCCCCTGTTGTCAATAACGATGATGTTACTTCTCAAGATCTACTAAAAACCAAACAAGTGCGTAAACAGTTAATAGAGGAGTTTATAAAGAAACACGATTTAACAGAAAAAGGAAAAATAAAATGGCGAGAAGACGTAAAATACATAACGCCAACTACTATACAATGGGCACAAAAAGAACAACCAAATCTTACAAACCTAAAATCACCAGTAGATTATTTTTATAAATATTTTGACGACACCATGTTTGATACTATGGTTATATACACAAATCTTTATCACCTGCAGAATAATACACGCTTTGAGAATACAAATATCAAAGAAATAAAAAAATTTGTGGGCATTCACATTATTATGGGAAACCTTAGTTATCCTCGTATACGACTTTATTGGGACAGCAAACTTTGTGTAAATGTTGTTAAAAATAATATGCCGTACAACAGATTTTTAAAATTACGAACCCATATACATTTTACTGATGCCAATCAACCAAATGAAACTGATACATTTTGGAAAGTTAGAGTTCTTTACGACAAAATACGACATAGGTGTATGCAATTATCACTTGAAACAAATTTAAGTATTGACGAACAAATTATTCCGTTCAAGGGACAGCTAAGCGTTAAGCAATATATAAAAGGAAAGCCGTGTCTATGGGGTATAAAATTGTATGCCTTGTGTGGAAGTTCCGGTTTACTTTACGACTTCATTTTATACTAAGGACCTACTACAGAAATAAATTCGCTTCATCAAGAAGTTTTCGGTCAAAACGCAGCTGTCGTAATAAAACTTACTGAAAGAATAACCAATCCAAACCACCAGCTTTATTTCGATAATTATTTTTCCAATTACCAACTATTGCAGTGGCTTCAAAATAGGCATATTTATGCCTCCTGTACTGCTAGAGCAGACCGTTTTGCAAAACCTCCACTTTTATCAGATAAGCAAATAGCTAAAAAAGAACGAGGATTTTCTCAAGAAATCATTAGTGCAGATGGACAAGTCATAATGACTAGATGGTTGGATAATAAATGTGTAACCATGGCTTTAAATTTCCAGTCAAAAGGCGAAGAAGATACTTGCAAGAGATGGAATATATTGATAAAGTGTTATTGCTCTCATCTTAAATGAATCGTGCTAACAAATAAAGTCAAAAAAGTCTCATAATTTTTCATCTTTTAGTTACCTACCAAAATTAGGCACTACAAAGTCCGGCCCAGAACATCTCCCTACTCTTTCCACCCAGTTTTTAGGTTTTGGCAAAATTCGCGCAGCGACAAATGCTTCCTACGTTATCTTTACCCTTTATAATCTCTTTGGTCTCGCACTATAGTTTCCAAGCAAACGAAACAGATCCATACTTATAACTACGTCATAATACTACATTTTTGAAATTTGTTTAAGGAAATTCTATAACCACATTAGTGTACCGTGGATATTATGACTATTTCATCTAGAAACGTGTACGTACTTTTGGAGGACAAAAAAAAAAATGTAAGGATTTAATTAGTTTGTTACATTTTGGATAGTCAAATCTGGTTTATTTTTATCTTAAAATAATTATAAAAATAAAGACTAACGTGAAACACCCTATATAGAGTTACAGATAAATTTGCTATGATAATAATAATAATAAAAATAGTAATTTAATATATTTGAAAAGCCTTTCTATTAGTTATTTAGTTAAACAACTATCGAAAATATTAGAAATTAGGGCATCAGTTTCCCAATAATAGATACAAATAATTAGTTAGTAGGTACTGCGGTAAAGCATAATAGGAATGTAGGAACGGTCGACTCTAATAATTTTAGTCCAGAACAAATTCGATTTATTGTAAATTGCGTAATTATCTAGCAACCGGTCATTTTACTAAAACAATAATTGATGATAGTATCATAGAGGGAATATATACATTGAATTATTCTATAAATAGAGAGCACGTATAATAAATAATGGACATAATGTGCAGGTGCGCTTTTATCAATTTTTGAAGCACTTCTAAAACGCACAGTTGTCATTTCATAAATCATGCTCGCATTATCATTTTAATTTGAATTTATTGATTCGTTATAATAATTTTCCATTGTAATGCATTACGATACACTGAACAGGATCAATAAGGACGAATTTGAATTGAAAATAAAACGTGCCAACAGTAATCCTGGGCGATTGCTCACCAATTGCATTAATTAAATTTCCTGAATTATTTTAAATTCAACTTCTACTTTCACGTATTTATTTATTTACAGTACATTTTCTTTACAGTGTCATATGTTGCTTTTTACTGTAGGTCCACTGCGAACATAGCCTTATCTCAACCCTATATCTCAAAGTTATTTTTTGTAATAGGTAAAAAATAATTTATGAGTATTCGTAGCAATAAGCCGTGTAGCAACTTCTGATAAATACAAAGTTGCATTTATAAACAATTTATTTATCCGTATTAAAAAGATAACTGAAGTATTTGTCTCAGATAAACTCAACTAAAACCCCCATTCAGTAATTTTGTAATTATAATTAACAAGAAAAGGAATAATGGTGCATCCTGCAAGAAGAAGAAAATCCAAACAGCAAACCGTAGACACGTGTTTCTGACTGTTGATCTTCATCAGTATGGTGCCAAGTTCAAAAGAAAATGGAACTTGCAATGAAAATAAACAAGAGGACAACACTCAAGTGTCTAAACAAACATTTGTGGTATTTTGTGAAAAGATACCAGCGTGCCACGGATGCAAAAACAGCCCACCATGGTGATGCATCCCAGCCCAAGGAGAATAAATCAGAGAAAAAAGGTTAGTGCAAAAAGAATAAAACAAGAGAAAATAAATAATAGGCACATAACACACATAAAAGAGAAAAAGCCAAAAGACAAACCAAAGACACTTGTTTTGTCACTCATCCTCTTTTTGAAATAAACCTCACTTAATGCTAATTTTCAGTGGACGATTATTCCCACGAATCAACCTCCATTTATCAGACAAATTAACTATAATGTTCCTGTTTCAAACTGTTTCTAAATTTCTGTCTTAAACATATTAAAGAAAAATTTGTTCAATTCTATATAGCATTTAATATAAAAACCGATGCACGTCAGAGATGACGTCAGTGACAGTCATTGGTACCACATACACTAATAAAAATAATTAAATTTTATTTTGCAAATAAATGAAAAAAATTAGACGCATGGAGTTCATTTTTATAAAATTGCATATTAAAAATCTATTTTTTATCATATCACAGTAGTAAATGTACTGTAGGCAGATTATTAACGGAATACTTTCTAGTGAATTTCATAATAAAAGTTGGCATAAAATCTGTCAGCTTTCAATTTTAATACATTGTTGTCAATTGTTATTTGTTTTGTATTATTTTGCATTGATCTATTTCTTTTCAACAAATTATTTGTATTTTAGATTAAATTACAAACAAACAAGGAATTAGGAATTTAATAGTGGTGTTCGTTTATTGTGTATTTTTTCATTGAAAAATGCCAAAATAATTAAATAGTCACTGCAAGGAACTAGTGGCTTCTCTAATAAATTATTTTGAGAAAGAACGTGAAAATAATGGGCCTTTGTTACCTTTAACAGCTGTAAGAGAAGTGAGTTGATTAATAATGTATCACCGTCAAATTAATATAATTATTTTGTTTCAGCGTGTCGCAGAAGTACTTAATCTCAATTTTTGTGAAGTTCTAAAGTCACCACCAAAAAAGCGCCCTAGGCAAAAGAAAGTTACCAACACAAGAATTCTGAATACCAGTGCTATTCGAGATGTTATTTATAGCATGTACGAGTCTAGTAAGCGTATATGTATATAAATTATTATTAAACAATTAAAAATTAATGTATGATTTCAGAGGAGCATGTAGGTTTCGATTCTTTGTTGGTGAAACTTAATGAGAAGGAGTTGTTCAATGGATGTCGCACATCATTGCATACCTTATTATTAGAAATAGGTTTCAAATGGCAGAAAGATGAACCAAGGCGAGGTCTTATGGAACTTCCAGATATTGCCGTGAAACAAGTAGAATTTTTAAGAAAATATACCAAAGAAAAGGAAGAAAATTTGTACCAGTTTGTTTTTATTGATGAGACTTGTATTTTCCAAAATGGCATCATAAACCGTTATTGGTAAGAGAGCAATAAAAGAAGTGTAAAAAGTACAAAAGTTGATGGTAAAAGGTTAATAAAAAAAACTAATGAATATATACATGTTAACTGTATATTGATCTTTTTTATAGATATATAATTCTTTATGCTGAAAACGAAAATGGATTTATTGATGGTGCCGAGGCCATATTTGCTTTAAAAAGCAATGATTATGATTATCACGGTGAGATGAATAATGAACATTTTTAAAATGGTTCGAAGAATAATTGCTTCGAAGACTGCCTAATCCATCTTTAATTGTAATGGACAACGCTTTATACCATAGCATATTGGCACACAAAACACCGAATAGTAATTTGACCAATGTTCAAATTCAAGAGTGGTTGACGAATCAGAACTTACCTTATTTACTCACCATGTTTAAGGCTGAACTTTTGAACCTTGTTAGACGGTGAGTAATGGAAATCTACTTTTTCTGTGTTTTTTAAATGATTTTATTTTTTTAGTAATAAACCACCAAAAATATATGTAGCTGATATGCTGACTGAATAGTATGGACATAAGGTGTTACGTCTTGCTCCTTACCATTGTATTTTTAATCCAATAGAACTGATTTGGGGTATTTCAAAACAATATTATAACAGGCACATTAGTCGGGATAGAAAGACACAAAGAGATTGTATAGACATGTGGTCTGAAGCACTCCGAACCATTACCCCACAAATGTGGGCAAACAGTTTAAGACACACTGAAAAATA